CTGGAGTCTAGAAGTTGTTCATTGGGTTCTAGCACGGCAAATCTATTAGACGAAAAATCTCATCTTTGGGAGAACCAACTTATATGTTTTCATACTTAGTAAGCTTGCATAGCCACAACAATGAATGACCGGTATCCTAGGTTGAAACATGACCTCATCATATCTCATAAGACAGTATGATGTCTCTGTCTGAACACATTTGTGAAAGGTTAACTAGCAATCCTTCTAGAGGAATTACCATATAGTCAACATTTGAGGAAGCACCCCTACATACCTGCTAGCTACTTAGTCTATCTATGTGGTCCCTCACCCCCTCTCAAGGCGAGTTTGCAGTGCAACGAGCCTGTTTAGGGAACCACTAACCATTTTAACACACGATAGTGGCACTAATCATGAGCTACACTACTTTTGTAGTTCCTCATCCCCTCTCAAAACAGGTTGACAAAATCATGGCCTAGGATCTTGCCATATCTCTACACACAATAGTAACTCCTCGAGTTGTCACAATGCACTAGTATATTTGATCTTTGTCAAGCTTAACAATATGGGCTCCTAGATACCTACCGTTTGGCAAGGGCATTAGTGGATCTTATCTAGGTCACTGAATAATGCTACTGAGGTACTGGAGTAAGATATGAGGCTGTGGGTCTCTGGTGATACCGTTCATATTGCTAGTGGCTTCATAAACTCTCTTTAATTTCCTTAGGTGTCGTAGAGGTTTACTAGGTTTCTAAGGCGTCTAAATGGTTTAAATCTCAAACTCACATTTTGAGGACTCTTGGGACTAAATCCTCAGGGCTAATGTAATTATTGAGAGCACATGATCTCAACCACTGATCATTGCTCACGATCCTAGGGTGCCCGATCTACTAGAAATGCTTTGACCTAGGGTCATGAATGTGACCTAGCTCTGTCACCCTATTCTTAATATAGTACATTCATGCAAGTATCCATACGTATCTAGGAAGGGTAGGAGCACCTACTCAGCAACACGTGAGTTAAACTCTTAGCTACCTCTTTTACTCTATAGTTGATCAAATTCATGTTGGGTTGAAGAATAATTTCAGCAATTTTGACACCGACAAAATCACTATCGTTTTAAAATAAGGATACATGGAAATGATTCCCAAGTAATTTTGGAAAAATCCAAAACTACCTTAAATGAAAACTTTGTAACTTCTCTTCTCTCTCACCCTATTTTTACCTACAATTTTGAGAAAATTTATGTTTTCCATTCTAAATTTTGTCGTGAAAGTTTTTATCTAATTTTACTTTTCTTATAAAAAATTTATCAAAGGTAACTCGATCAATATGAACCATCTAACTCGAATCATAAAAGTTGGGTTCAGTTGGAATTTTTTAGTTTGAGTTGGGTTCAATTTTTGAAAATAAAAAATTTGAGTCGGTTTGCAGATTGACATTTTTTAGTGGAATCAACCCGATCAACCCGAAAGTAAAGGTATAATCGAACTCAATCCTACTCTATTTTTAAAATTATTGTAAAAGTTAAGAATATTTAAAGTTGGTAACCTATATTAGTAATGCTATGTGATATGTACATGTTTGATATTTAAGTTTTATGCCATTCTAATGATAAGTTGAATTTTTTTAACAGTCTAACACAAACAAAAAATGGAGGGTCGGTGATAAAACAATCATAATTTCCAATAAATAAATTAACCGAGACAATCATTCTTTAATCAAATAAATTAACACTTTATTCTACTTAACTTGTATGAGATAAGGCTAGAATTAGATTACTCCTAACATCAAACATCTAGAAACAAGATTTTACGTTTTTTTTTCTAAATTGAGTCACTCCACAATCGAACTTGATCAAGACTTGACTTAAAAATGTTATGCTCAAATTTAAGGGTGAAAGTCTAAATATGATAGCTCATTTTCATTGATCAAAAATGTGATTTTTATTACTAATTTGTGGGTATTTATAGTCTCTCCACTAAAAATGCCATGATTTTATATTTCACATGCTCACCACAGGTAGTTATGATCATGATTGACAAGTTACTCCCCACTACCCTTCAAATGTATGCTAAAAAGCAGATATGACCATTTTGACGACTAACTTATCATCCCTTTGTGCTCACTACAAAAAGTTATGAAATTAAAATAATAAATACAGGTTTCAAAGAAATTTAAAATTGTCATTCATGCTCCATTTCAATCTTGCAAATGTTCACGTTCCAAACTCTAAACAATCCTTCCTCAATCGAGTCAGCTTATTATATATGAAATAGAGGTTGAATCGAGTCTATCCAATTTTGTAGATAAATAATGAATAATTGTTAAATGTCTTGAATCATGTAATAGGTTTTGTTTGATCATTTGGACACCAGAATCCTTATTAGTTGGGTGGGGTGAGTTATGAACTCTATTCACGTTGCTATCATCACCAACCCAACTCAAAATTTCGAGTTCATCCACCCTCGGCCCCAACTTCTTCAATCTCTAAAATTCTTATTACTCCCTTCATAATTGTTTTTTTTTTCTCTCTCTAATCATTTTTTTACACTAAAGTTTAATGTTGTAATTAATGTTGATTGGTAAGTTTGTTAGGTTATATCAATTTTGACAAAAATGTTGTAATTTTTACTTCCTATTCAATTTTTTCTAATTTTTAAGTGACACAAATCATTAAATAATTTTGCCAAAGCTCATAAATTTCGATAAAATGGGTTAAACTCTAATATTGTTTCTATATTGAATTATATCAGTTTTAAATCGTTCATATATTTTATTATTCATTCAACACAAACGCTAAAATTGTATCAGGTTAAGACCATAATATAAAAATTATGGGATAAAATTATTTTAAAAACATCAAGAATTAAAATGATGCTAAATTGAGAGCATATTAAATAATAATATTAAAATTTGAAGTAAATAAAGAAACCAACCATCTCACCATAACAGCCAAGAAATTTAAAATTGAAACAGGAATAATAAATAAATAAATAAATAAACAATTATTAGCAATTCAAATTTCAAACTTGAATATGCTCTCACGTGCTCAAAGTAATGATAAGAAAAGGGAAATGAAAAGAAACCCAAAACTCAAATTTGTAAATCATTTGAAATGAAAAAAACAAAGACATGCAAATTCAAATGTTTTATGATTCGGGTGGTTTTAATTATTTTTATTAGCTTCACAACCCAATTCCATCTAATCCTATGTTTTTCGTTTTTTTTATTTATTTAAAATTATACTGGTTCACGTTACATATTACGTTAACAACTGAAGTATCATAAAACTCAAATATCAAACATCCGCAAGTTACAATGACATCACTAACATCTATTTACTAATGCAAGATATATTTAATTTTCATATCAATTTTAAGCGTAGATAAGGATGAATTGGGTTGTGAGTACTATGTTTGAATGAGCCAGATAACTTAATCGAGCCTTACTTTTATGCTTTGAATTGGATAGTATAGAGTCTTACCATTCATTGATTCATTTATTATTATTATTATTATTATTTCGAGAAAAAGCAATAAAAGGTGGATTGATTTGAGTGGATTGCAAAAGCAATAAAAAGAAAAAGGCTAACTTTTTGAAGAACTTTGTCTTTGGTGGTGGAAGGCAGTTGAACAAAAAGTATTTGAAATTGGTTAGGAGGGTAATAAGCCCAGGGGGTCGAGGGCCAATCCCAGCAGACCCATTAGGACCCGCCACTCGAAACGAAAGACATGCCATTTCAGACTCTTCAATAGTACCAGACTTCTCATTAACTATAACTAGAGTTCCCTCGTGTCGCTGCAGTTACTTTGTACTAGATCGCCACCGTTGCTACGGTTGTTGTCTTGTATCGCTAGCATTATCATTCAAAAGGAGAAAACACAAAAACACTTCAGTTAAGTGGGAAGTTGACGGGAGAACTCATTACTTTACTTTGGGAGAAAGATGAAATTAGAACCAATCGCTACACAAGAGGACGGTGAGTAATAAAGCCCTACGACTTTAAGGTATCTTTGTTATGTGTTCAAATGTAGGTGGTCCTCGGCACCTAGACCAATAAGTAGAAATTTCTGAAGCAAAGTCTCCCACCTATTGAAACTAAAACCATTTTGTTTTTTTAATTTTTAATTGTTATCGTGCTTTATTGGTCATGAAAAATATTTATTTTTGCACATAATTTTTTAATTCAATGACTCGGGTAAGAGATGCATGTTGTCTGTATTGGATAGCCAATCATTAATGATCACATAGGGTAATTGCTGTTAATTATTTTTGTGGTAACGGTGGCACATTGTGTGTATCGAATAACCAGTCATTAATGGTCTCTAAAGAACGATTGCTGAAAATTATTTTTCTTGAGTAGATTACAAGTGGTGTGTTTCGAGTATAGATTACAAGTTGTGGATTTCGAGTAATCAATCATTAGAGTCCCTCAATCTTGATTGAACTACTGTATAATGGTTTGTTTGCATATCTAACCCTTGGGGAGTGTCATAATGAGTATTTCTAATACTCACCATGTTTTTAAAATGATCTTCGGGTAAGGGCAAAACCAAAGCATGAAAGTAACGACAAGGTAAGAGAAATCAGCCACGGAACAACTCGAACAGTTTTATGTTTTTACATTTCCGTATTTGCATTTATTTATTTGTTTAAACTTTGTTAGAATAATCCTAATTTATGCCAGGGAGCCTTAGCTTGAAAATTTTCTTACTATTGAACTATTTGGTTAAATTACATGTCTTCCACAATTCCTTTAAATGAGTACTCTCGAGCATGATTTCACTAAAATGTCTTTTAGTATATTTTCATATAATTTAAATTACAAACGTGACATCTCCTACCTGTACGTATGCAGAAATCGGTGGTTGAATTTGGTCTTGGCCTCTTTCCACAAGAAGATTATTCAAATTTTCAAACTCTTTTGCTGTACCAATGATTGAATGTTTAAAGAAGGGGAAATTCAATTAGCGACAACCACAGACAGATAGCTTTCATACACTATAACCCCCTACACCAATAGTAAAGAGTTTACTTCGCCAATATCAAAGCCATTTGATCTATATGCATTATATATATTATAGAATCAAAGTTCTCACACATGTACCCGGGTGTATATATATACAAGAATAAGAAACGGAATAAGAATAAGTACCGATTGTCGTTGGAGCCCAAAATCTTCCTTGCTAAGACTTGACTTGTAGTTTTGTAAGATTGTGCACTTGAAAAGACTCGTCTTTTAAGGGCTCTTCAATGTTCAAATTTCATACCATTTTCTGTTAGTCTCAGTGTGCTTTGGCTATGGACTTGTGATCTTGCCACTCTATTTACCCTTCTCAGCTTTGATATCCCTTTGTTTTAACTTTTTCTGTTCAAGTTGCAACGGCTGTGATGACTCTTTAGCTTCTTACAAGTTATTGAAGAATTTCATCTTATCCTCCTTCACCTTCGAATCACTCAAGCTTGTTGTTTCTTTTTGTACATATTTGAGATTCTGCTTGCCTTTCAACTTTTGTCCGGACTCTGCTTTGTTGACAACGTTCTTCGTGTCCTCAGTCTTCACATCATTCTGGGTTGCAATTTCCTTTTTGGCAGACACAACCTTTGGCTTAAATTGTAACTTGTTTGAAGAGCCTTTAGCTGTTGACATGCCATGGACATATGCAACTTTCATCTTATCCCCCGTCTTCGAATTGTTTTGTGATGCTTTCTCCTTGCACACTGCCTCATTCTTTGGTTGAAACTGCAATCCTTGTGAAGATCCTTTAGCTGTTGACATGTTATCGGCCACTTTCATCTTATGCTTTGTCTTTGTATCACTTTGGGATGTTGGTTCCTTCTTTACCAACTCGAGCTTAGGTTGAAACTTCAAGCCTTGTGAAGCCCCTTCAGCTGTTAACATGTGCTCAGCAACTTTCATCTTATCTTTGGTCTTTGGATCATTTTGGGATGTTGGTTCCTTCCTAACCAACTCGAGCTTAGGTTGGAACTTCAACCCTGGAGAAGATCCTTCAGCAGGTGACATGACATGGGCGACTTTCATCATATCCTCGGTTTTCATACCATTTTGAGATGTGGTTTCCTTGTACACCGTCTTGAGCTTAGGTTGAAACTGCAACAATTGTGAAGACCCTTGAGCAATTATCTTCTTATCCTTAGTCTTCGTATGAGATGTTGTTTCCAGCTCGATCTTAGGCTGAAAATTAAACACTTGTGAAGATCCTTTGGCTGTCAGCATCTTATTTTCAACACTCATCTTGTCACTCTCTTTGCGCTTCCTTTCTCTTGCTCTCTCCCTTCTGGAAGCAGATGAAAGCTTGGCGCTCTGGCTTGTATTTCCATCCATGTTCCAAGTGTTTTTCTCTCGTTTTCCGCACTCCAACTTTCTTGAAAGTCTTTCAATAGATGTAACAAGTTTAGGATCACTGAAAATAACAGGCAAACAACATGAAATACAGGTATCAGATTCGGAGCATCTATTATTCTAGTCTAATGCACAGGAAAATGAGCATATTTGACTATGAAGGTTCTTATATAAGCCATTCGGAACATCCTCCATGGTCATTCATGTACTAAATATTAAATAATGAATCTACCTTATATATGTACTAATCATTACAGTGAATCTAACTCCAAGATGTATCCAATGAACTTTCTTTTCAAAATCTGTCCATGTGTACTCGATGAATTAAATTTATTCATTAACAGATAAGCCTCTCTTGATGATGATGAGCTATAGATGAAACTCACCTCATACGAACTGCAGGAGACATCTTCAGTTCATCAAGTATGCTTTTCACTCGAAAAAGTTCGGTCTCTCTGTCAAAAGAGCCTTTCTGACTAGATTTGGGCACAGAAGTATTTATACAATGAACTCTTTTCTTCAACTTCATCTGAAAAAATATTTAAGAAAAAGATACAGCTTAAAGGCAAAAATAATAGGAAAAACAAAACGGAAGATAGCATTCAAATAAAAGATGTTACCTTCTTTAAGGCATTAGACTTCCTGCTCTTTGGATTTACCACCTGAGTATGTTTTTCTGATTTAATCGAATCAGAAATTGTGTTCGAGTTTGTTTTGATCATAACTTCTACTGCATCTCTGTTTTCATCCTCATTAGCATTATGCAGAACTTGTGAGGTTTTAGCGTTCAATAGAGTTGAACCATCGATAGGCTCAGCTTTCTTGCTGCCAGAAGGAGAAATAGATCCACAATTGTGATCATCCATGAGGTTCTTTGCAAAAAGAAGTTTCCATATATCATCCTTCTTGCCAATTTTCTTCATTCTAAGGGAAATGGCTGCTGGAGCTACAGGTTTGTTGCATACACCTTTAAAACATACTTTGACTAGAGGATTCCTAATCTTCCAAGCTGCTTCTGCCATATAATTCAGGAAATGAAGGTTCTGCTTCTTTCTTTGCATAAAGAGCTTAGAGAAGGCTTCAGGTAATTGTGAATGCATATCAGGTTTGCGAATAAAATCATACAGCATGTTATAATACTTCCCCAAATTGGCAGAAAGTAAACACATAATGATGACAAGTCGCAACAGAAAAATGGGATAGTATTCTTTTGAGTTGATGTTGGATCTCTTTATCCATTCCCTTGCACCACAGTTATTGAAGAGAAGCTCATGAACCATTTTTGCTATAGAGTCAAACAAGTGTTCAGAAGATATTTCAGTATTCACCATGCTTTGTGCTTGTCTGCCAGACCACTCCTCGCAGACAAGCCACTCAATGAATGAAGATCGAGTGGCATAGAAGCATCCTTGAGTCATCGATATCAAAATAAATTGACGCTCGACTATATACAAGAAACAATCAGGTGACATATAATCGAACTCTTTCTTCCAGTTAACAAAAGTAAGCATCAAAGCCTCGTGCAACTGGTTGATCAGACCACCTTCTCCAGAAGCCTCAACAACTTTTCCAGCCACTGAACTTTCTGAAGTTTGTGAATTGAATGCATCAATTACTGCCTTCCACTGTAACTTCATACTGCATTTTCTAGCAATCTTATCATACACTCCAGAAGTTAGCTTCCCAGAACCCAAGAGTGCCATCACGACCTTTCCAATTTGTTCATATGATAATTGACTCTTTGAACCAATTATTTTCAATATGACTGCTTCAGTGACACTACAAGAAAGCTCAGTTTCTCTTAAAGTAATCAAATTTTCAGTCATTGGTTCAGTCCAACAAAGACCAAACACATTATCAAAGAAATGATCAGCATATGATTCAAGATAATCATGCAGCTTCTTGTCATCATCAGGCAATTTGGCAAGGTTGTATGACAACAGAAAATTTGCAATCTCAAAGACACCAATGGCAATAGAACTTCGACGAAATTTAGATAAGGAATGAATGACAGAGAACCTGTAGCTGTTGCTGAAACATTCCAAAACTTTCATACCAATAGAAAGCAACTCTGTGTTCCAATAACTTCTAGCAGCAAGAGCGAACTGTTGAACATCCATGCTCATCAGCTTTCCATCTCTCTGAACAGAGTGATGGCTAATATGCATCATCCAATCAGCATCAGTAAATAACTGGTAAGTGTTCTTCTGATCGTCAAACTGCTTCCTCACGCCCAAGTATTTCAAACAGAACCCCTCATAAATTATGAAGTCATCAACATTCTTGGTACCAAGTGACTCGAGATATTTAATGACGCCTAAGATATGATCCTTCCAGAGGTTCCAAAAGTAGGAAAGGGTTTCAATGGAAACCTGGCTCTGAGAGATTTTATTCTCTGCATGTCTCAAGGGATCACTCACTACGACATCTTCCAAGTCATATGAGGACGTGTTTGAACAAAGGTGAGCATCAAGAATGCGTCGAGCTGATAATATCTCACCACAGATGTTCTTATTTTCCCGGGAACTGCTCAAGTGATGTTTTATGTCTAACAAGCTATATATTCCATCAGATAGTATATCAGTCTCTAAACAAACATTTCTGTGGAACATATCAGAATTGAGTTTTGCAATTGATTTTGCTTTTGATAGAAGTTTCTCCTTTTGTTTAAACTGCTTCAAGGGCCATCCTTTGCTTTGGGTTGTCCATAGAGAGTTGGCTAGAACATAGAAAAGAATCAGTTTCACAGCTTCTTCAAGTTGGCCAGCCTTCTCTAACAAATCAACTTCGAGGAGAAGATCCCCTTTCTGCCTTGCAATAACAGCAGCCTCCATAAAATTTCCTGATACTACTTCCAGTGATATCAGCTCATCAAAGCAGGCCACAGATTTCAAAAATAAACGTTGGGAATCCATGGAATGAAAGGTTTTAACAAATTTCATCATAGTTCTCGTGTCTTGAAGCCTATGATAGTGAAGTGCACATTTTCTTAAAAAAGTAAACTTCAAATCTTCCAAATCATGAATATTACCTACTAAACTACCTTGGCCCAGATGATCTTTGCAGCACAAGACGAACTGCAGCCTAACACTGGTAAAATTTTGCAACAATGTTCCGGTTGCAAATTTTAGAAACTGGGAATTCTTGAGAAAATTCTCAACTTCACAGAAATTAATGGCTATCATACTTTGACATAATTCAGAGGCATTAGAGGCAGTGGCAGAGAATGAATAAAGGGCCTTTAATTTTTCCAAGACCTTTATTCCAACCGAAAGCACTTCTGAACTCCAATATCTCCAGCCAGCAGATGTAAACTGGCATGCAGCAAGGCCGATTAAGCCACCATTCCTGTGCAGGGATCCATTGACCACTTCTGTTGCCCAATCAGCATCAGGATTAAGCAAAAAGTACAGTGTTTCATGATTACTGTATTGCCTCCTTACACCAAAGTGAAACAAACAAAAATCCTGTTGACTCTCACAGTAACCATGAACATCTTCAATGTCAATAGAGCATAGATGATCAAGTACGGCATTGACACTATCCTTCCATAGATTCCAGAAATAAAACAGTGTTCCAAAAGACACCTGATTTTTGGAGATTGATTCTTTTGAATGCATTTCTAGATCATCTTCTGTCACATTTTCCCACATGTAATTTGACACACCTAGTTTAAGATGAGCATCTAAAATCTTCCAAACAGAAAGAATTAAACCTCTGAAATTTTTATGGCCCTTAGAAGCAGTTAGACTCTGTTCCATCTCATCCAAACCACTTACTTTCTCTGATAAGATATTAGCCTCTACAGAAATCATGTCATAAAATGATTCTGAATCACGTTTTGCAATGGACATCGTTTTCTCTAATAATTTCTGCTTGTGCTTGAACTCCTTTAATGGCCAACCTTTGCTTCCAGAAGTCCACAATGAGTTTGCATATATATATAAGAAAAAAAGCAAGGATGCCTCTTTATAGTTTCCTGTCTTCTCTAGCAAATCAATTTCAAGAAGAAGGTTGCCTTGTGACACTGCAATAGCCAACGCCTCTGAAAAGTTTCCTGCTTCCATTTCTAGGGACAAGAGTTCATTGAAGTAGTTGAAAGACTTCAAGAATGAACGTTTGAAATCCATAGAATAAAAGTCCCTGACAAACTTTAACATCGTGATGCTATCTTGTATTTTATGGAAGTGGCGCGCACAACTCACGAGATAAGATTGAGAGTCGTCATGTACAGCTTCAATCTCATTGGCCAGATCTACATTTGGAGTCTGGTGCAGTCTTAAAAACTGGATGGAAAGATACCCTGAGTCAAAAATTGTTGTCTGGTTTTTGTAGTCAATGGATGACTTGATATAATCGTCTTCTGTGAGGAACTTAGCCATTTGAAAAAGATGAACGGCAGTGAAAGCTTGAAAATAAAATGAGAGAGAGCTATTGACAGAGAGCATATGGAGATTTTTTAATTTGGATAAAATCTTCAACCCAACAGAAGATATTTCTGATAACCAATAACTCCGTGCAGCTGCAACAAACTCTCGAGAATTGATGGTAACAAAATTTTCGTTGCCTTCAAAAGATACTGTCCTAGCCCATTCAGCTTCAGGGTCAACTAAATGGTAAATACTGTTCCCATAATTTAACTGCTTCCTTACACCCAAGTAATCTAGACAGAATTGTTCATAGCTTGCATAATCACTGTTGATTTGGCTTTCAGGAAGTTGCAGATACTCTAATATGCTCATCACATTTTCTTTCCAGAAGTTCCAAAAGTAAACCAGTGTCTGAACTGAAACCCGGTTAAGGGAAATTGTTTGCTCCACATGTTCTCTTAAATTTGTCACTATTTTATTTTCCCATATGTATTTGGAGGTGCCGGAAGAAAGATGAGCATCAAGGATTTTCCAAGCAGACAGAATTTCACCTCTGAGATTTCCATGCCTGTGGGAGGAACTCCAATTCTGCTCCATCTCGAACAGTGTTCTTGGCTGATTTGATAAGATATTGGCTTCAGTAGTAACATAATCATAGAAGCTGTCTGACTCATTCATTGCCAATATCTTTGCTCTGGTTAGAAGTTTCTCCTTTCTCTTAAATAACTGAAGTGGCCAACCTTTTTTTGAACAACCCCACAAAGAACTGAAAAGCACATGTTGCAATATGAGCGATGACGCATCTTTCAAATTTCCAGCCTTCTCTAAACGATGAATCTCAAGTGAAATACCCTCTTTCTTCATTATGATACTAGTAGCATCTTCTACGTCTTTCTCAAGCAACAATATTTTCTCAGAGAGACCTAAAGTCCTAAGGAATGAACATTTTTCATCCATGGAGTCGAAGATGTCAAAAAATTTTAAAATGGAACGAAAATCTTGAAGTTCATGATAGTGCAGGGCGCCTTTCTGCAGAAACACATGCCAGATCTCTTTGAAATCTAGACATTTTTCAATCAGATCATCATCATCATCACAATGTTTCCTCCAGCTGCAGATCACTTGCAACCCCATGTCAAAAAGATTTGCAACAGTGCAGACATTCAAGAACTTTAAGAAGAATCTACCCCTTGAATATGCCTCAGCCGCTAATTCGTAGCATTCAGCCAACATATAACAATCACCAGCATCTTCTAACTTTGCTTCTCCACATTTTTTTGAATATATATAAGCTACATCAAATATTGAGACATTCACAAGACATTCAAGATGGGCACACATCATATACTTAAAAGCAAGAGAAATGAAAAGAAAAAAAACAAAAAGAAAAATAATACTTTTTGTTGATATAAAAGAGGTCAAATAAAAACAATGATATTTATGCAACAGAAGTGAGTGAGACAGGAAATAATATAAAAATAAGGCCAAGTTAAGGAACCCACTAGTGCTGTGTCTCTCTATTTTTTATATTCTCAAACAAACTATCTTACTAATCATCATATTATCCCTTCCTTACCATCTAGTCGTATTGAATTCCTAAATATGATCCTTGAACAGTCTTAGACTTTAAACAAGATTGAAGTTACGTACCTGCTGTTTGATATTCTTTTAACTCAATGAAGCACTTAGCAGCAACCTCAGCACGATCCATAGAAATATAAATTTCAGCAGCTTCCTGAAGGGCATTACGAGCCATTTGAGGATTTGAACCATCCAATATGCAAGCAGTTGCACGAAGAGAAGCAGCCCTGGCCCATTCTCTTTTAAGTCTGTCGTCAGCTCTTTCAAAGCACAGAGATGCTGCCACATAAACACCCTCACAAAAGAACTGCCACAATGTATATAAAAAGGAAGCACAAAAGATGAAAAGTTTTAGCTAACATAAAAGATGAACTTGCAACAGACATGAGGATAGAATCTATGTGTAGCTAACATTTCAACATCCTAACAAACCAATAGTATATGTATTTGTCCATGTAGATAAAAAAAGGACAGTTCAACGTAACTAAAAAAGTATTTCCAAATTCATATAAATTAATCCAATATGCTTATACACAAAACTCTCACTTCTTATTATGCTAGGAAAAAGTCTTCAGCCTCTTTAAATACTTCCTCATCTGATACAATACATGGAAAAGTCCTGACTAAAAATGCACTCAATTTGGAACCATCAGGTCAGGATCCCTGGGAATAGTGCTCCAAATGAGAAGGTTTTCGAGCCATTTCACTTCCTTTGGCCATCAATTCATCTCCTACTTTAGTTGATAATCATCTTTCAAAAGAAGTTATAAATTCAACAGAAGGGGAATCAACAAGGCAGATTTCCTCGAGAATGAAGTGGAGTCAATAAAGATTCCTAGGTGAGTATTAGTAGTGATGACATGGAGATCACTTTTCCAATTGTCATTGAGCAAGATAAAATTTCTACTGAAGAAGCTAAAGACTCTAACCCTCCTTCAAAGAGTTTGTCTTCCTCCCGGTTAAAAGCAGCGTCCTTCAGCAAGCTCACCAATCCCTAAACTACTTTACCTCTAAATGTGCAAGGTATCTCCTAATCGATTTCTTCCAACTTCCAACCCTCTGTCTCACAATCACATGAGTTGTCTTTTCAAATTAGATTTAAAATGTAATGAAAATTGCTTCTTGAAGCTTGAAGCCAAGTGCTCGTTTATTTATAATTCTATGTATTTTAGGATACATTCTTAGACTCATTCAAGCTTATTTGGTCAATCTTGCATGTGGCGTGATTCATATCTCAAACAAAGAAGGATCTTCCATGTCTCAAGATATTAGACCAAAAGGTTATCCAGTTTTGAATTTCCTTGAATTGATTTTCAAATTCGTTTTGAGATTGTTAGATTAGAGTATTATGGGTGTTGTTAGTTGGCAAGATTATTAGATCCAATCCTCAAGAGTTCTATAACAAAAACCTAGATTCCATACGAAGGGTATTTATAATTATTAGAATATTCAAGAGGATATTTGTAACCAGTAATTCAACTTTATTTATCATGCAAGCTGGAAATTTTTATCATACCTCAAGCCCCAGCGAGCTCCACTCCTCTTTCGTACTTGGGGCCTTCATTGCTTGTATGATCGAGTAATCCAATGTCTTGACTTGAATATAACATAGTTTTTTCCAATAGTCAACAATCGGATTGGGAAACTCCTGGTTGTCTTCATAGATCCATAATCTTTGCCTAGAACGTGTAATTGCTATATGTAGTAACTTTAATTCCCAACATAAGTCCATATGTACTGGTTGATTGAAGTTTGGAGAATTGGGAGCCATTTCAAGCATGTCTTGCTCGATCATGTATTGATATATGACGCTCCACTGATGTCCCAGAGGTGATGAGTTGAAAAAATTGTACACCAGAACATCCTAAAATGAAAAGGAGAAAAAAAAAAGAACTTCAACATACAAACGTGACACAAAGTTCAACGATAAATTTGGTAAAACATAGATTCTATTCTGAAAAAAAGATAACTGTCTCAATAACTAATAAAGTTCCTCCAATCTCGATCCCATTCATCTTGTGCAATTGATTGACTATAGCGAAAACAGAACTTACCTATGACACTTATCTAGAGTAGATTTTATAACCTGAGTTTTCAAGTTTTGAAATGCCTGAGGTGATAAATCATCCAAACTTGAGACAACTCTTAGAAGCCAGATATGTCATCAATTCAAAAATCAAAAGAATGGCCGAGTGACAGTGACTTATTAGAAAATTTATTAGAATTCAAAATAAGAACTAATACTCACCTGAAACTCCAAGGACTGACACTCCATAATTGTGAGGACAATTGCTTGATTCCGTACAAGATTAGAGATCCCATCCCTGGCATGCTCATCTCGAACCAGGATGACCTGTTTTGCTCCAAATTCACGAGTATCTGCAGGTACATTTCCTGTCCCTCCAAATAATAGTGTCATCATATTTTGTCCTTTGCCATTCTCAAGAAGAACTGGAGTTTCAAAATTACCAGAACTCATTTCACTTGTTTCAGGGCACAGTATATCAATACAGTGAGGAAAGAAACGAAAAAGAAGATCTGTAACACTATTAGCTAATTGAAGAATTTTAGGTTGTGTATGACAATTCTGATTCATATGAAGAATGTCAGGGATTTTCAATAACCCTGCGCCAATGTCTTTTTCATCGGTTTTTACTCTTGATATGAATTCCTTGTAGAACAGAAATCTTATGTCGTGGAACCTGAAGTCAATACCCTTGGCAATAGTTTGAGATGTATTACTTGAAAAAACAAAGCCTGAACTGACATTTCCACACAGGTATTTCAAAAGAGCAATTTCCATCATAGTAAGAGCTTGTACTTCATCCACGTAGACATAATCCATTTGGTCACCTGTATATTGAGAACATTTCAACCGATGATGAAGATCAATGACTAGATCAGCCAAATCATATTCCCCTTTTTCGTTTTTCATCCTTTCATAGTCTAAAAATATATCATAAATTCTTTCTCTTTGCTTCCTGCTTAATGTAGACCGACCCTTTGCAAGTCGAGTATAGTCTAGCTTACTAAGTCTACCATCAGGGGTTTCCTTTGCTCCTAATCCACCTTTTATCTGGGAAATGATTTCATTGAAAACCACAACAGCATCGAGGTTGTTGGTTAGACAGCCATCAAAATAGGACCAGTAAAATGAAGAAAATTTTTTAACAGTTACTTCTTTTGATACTATAAAATTATAGGCAGCAGTTGATAATGGATCTCTGGGCTTGCCACAACTAAGTTTCCACTGTTTCAGGAATCTAATCAAGAATGAATCTCCCACAGTTCTATCAACCATTATCAAGAACTTTCGAAATGTTATCACAAGAGGATATGAGCTGAATGGAATACCATCGAAGCTATTTGGAACATCCAAGAGATCTTGGGCATCATCCATATCCATCACGCCAACTTTTTTAAATTTTTGGTTCTCTTCTAAAATGTTCCCACCATTGGAAATTCTGCATATTGAAGAAACCTTCTATTATGGTTTAAACATATAAAGCATGATTGGGTGATGGTAAAATTAGAATATCAGAAACATAATTTGAGACAGATCATGAAACAATATGAGACTGTACTTTGTGGTGAATTAGCTACAAAGAAGAGGGAAGATCTAGTCTCCTTCTCTAATGCATTTTTCAAGAAAGGTATGACTCTAAGACAAGTACCAGAAATTTGTCACAAACCTTTTCAAGTACGAAAGGTGCTCCTTTACAGCTTGGCATTGTTTAAGAGTGGCTGTGATGAAAAGCTGACGCAGGACAGTCCTATCGATCTTTTTGCATGCCTCACCACCATCATTTCGATAACCTACTTCTGCATTATCTCTCATTACCTGACTACATCCCCCGGAATGGATCTGCTGCTGTCGTTCTCTCATGAACAGTTTTATTGTCAAAGCTGCAGTTTTCCTTGAATCAGGCCTTCCCATTATGAAGGCACTGGTTGGAAAAAGAATTATCTCCAATTGTTCATCTTCCACTTGACATGGGAGATCCAATTCTTTACTAGCATGTCTTGAAAGCAAGTGCTTTGCTTTTAGATAGGATAAAGATTGAAACTTCATCTGCAGCAAATTCTTTTTCAGAGTGCCATTCTTAATGTCATCACTGTCAGCTTGCAAACTTAAAATGGCATCGAGCTCAGCTTTCATGTGATCCTTATAGATAACAACATCAAGAGAAGCACCCCATGTGATTGGAAGCTCAAGATCCCTGGAGCCATATAACAGAAAATTATGTGCGGCCAACATCATCCAATTGGTAAGTAACTGAATGGAAAATCTTTTTCACACTGTTCACATTTAAAATGAAAAGATAAGGATGTACCCTTTATGAGACTTTGCTTTACAAAGATTTAGAAAGTCATCAGTATACAGCTCATGTATGTTGGAAAGGCATTCAACCAGTACTTTTACATCCGCCAAAGGTTTGATATCCCATATCTTTAGAACTTGTTTGTACTTTAAATCCTTCTCAATATCCAATGAGTATACTATGAACAGACCTTCAACTTTAACACTTATTATGTTAGAACATTTGGGATTGGAGACGCTGTTAGCTTCTGGGCGCCAGCCACAGGCAAGCCTTAGCAAAAGAACAATAATTGACTTCTTTTGGTTGATCGAGACCACTTTCTGGAATGATGCCCTAAAAGAATCACTTAGAAGAACCTGAGATTACCAGAAAATAACTTCGTTTAAGCACATTAAAAATCAATTTGAATTTGAAAGAACATACATATCAATATTTAGTAACGAAGTTATCTTAAACAATGACAGAGCATTAGAAGAAACATACCTTCCACTGAACAAGTTTAAATAGTACACTATCCTGGTTGAGTAAATCATCAAGCTCAAGGAGCACTTTCTTGACCTCTATTATAGCATCTGCTAAGTCTTTGTCTTCCTCAGCATTAAAATAACATTGACGATCCTTGGCATTGGAAACTACAGATTCCCATTCAGAATTACTATTTCCCAATGTTGTTGCATCTCCCACAATCCACAGACAGTGTCTATAAAGAACAAAGATTCTAAAATGTAACAAGTAAAAAGAAATTAAATATTACCAATACATACATGGAGGATAAAATACCTAGCTCTTGTTAAAGCAACATTGATTCTCTGTGAATTGGAGATGAACCCAATATTGTTTCTCCTGTTGGATCTGACAGTAGTTAATATGATCACATCCTCTTCACCACCTTGGAAACCGTCCACAGACTTTACTTTTACAGTAAAATTATCACTCTTCTCATATTTATGTCCAAGCCTGCTCTGAATTGCTGAAACTTGTGCAGCGTAGAAAGAGATTACACCAACGTTGAGCCTTGTCTTGGCTTTCCTCCATGCTGCGTATGAAGGAAACCCACATCATTGATGAGTGAAAGCAAGAGAAATTATGAAATAATAATAATAAATAAATAAAATCATCTAGAACAAAGGATCTACTGAAAATCCAAAACCTATCCGAAAGAGCATAAAGAAGAATTCTAAGTAGTAATTGCAAGCAATAAACTAAGAAATATATTTATTTGAAAAATCCATCAAGTAGAAAAAGCCCTAAACCCTAAGAAGATTTCCTGGATTTGATACTTTCAGGAAAGAGCCAAGTTGTAAGCACTTTTTTCAGTTTCTCAGTATCAATGATGCCAAGTGCAATTTTCAATATCGTTAAGACTACAATATCCACAACAATTTCGCATCATCAACAAGAGGCATTATTGCTATTGTGACCTTTGACTATAAAAGTAAAATCCAACAAAAGGAGCTAAGACAAAGACCATACTAACTGTACAAAAAAAAAAAAAAAAAAAAAACAATATGAACTAATCAAACAAAATTGGAAAATTATAAAAGATCTTAGAGAACACGCAAAAAGAGTAATTGAGCCTAACAATGGATCACACCACTTTCCAAGGCCTCACAATTTCACTTTTTTCTTTCTTTCTTTCTTTTAACCAAATAGTAAAATTGCATCTACTTCACCTACACATGAATGCAATGCCTTTGGATGAACCACAATTCAGAATGAAATATTCAAATTCATGAGAGCTTGAACTTAAGCCACATCCCTATCATTAGTTTACAATTCTGATCATATAAATAGTAGTGTAACACCCTAAATGAATAACTGGTTAAAATTGAAAATGTACAAATTATAAAGCAATATTATAGATGAAAACCCTTGCATATAGCACTAAAAACATAGGAGATTATGGCTTAGTTTGGGATTGAAGTTGTTTCAAAATATTTGTGGGCAAATGTGCTTTTAGAAAAATCAGTTGTAATATGAGATAAATTAGTGTTTATTAAATTTCAATTTTAAACCTAAAAAAGCTTGATAAATCAATACTAATATTGTTGTGGTTTTTCCTAGGAAGCACGAACTCTAGGCTCCAGACATGTATCCAACACGCTAAAAAACAATTTTTTAGTCAAAAATATCTTTTGTGTTTACAGTAAATTTACATGTTTTTGTCTATATCGAATTCTTAATATATCAATATGTACACAGATTCTATAAAAAAAAAAAATAATAATAAATAAAAAGAAGTCCCTGACATATCCACGTCCATGAATCTTAGGATTTTGCTATAATAACCATAGTAGATATATCATTTAGATAATTCTATATTAATATTTAATATTGCATTTATTATAAGTTAATTATTTAAAATTTACATGATTTAAAAGGCAAATTATTTTGTTTGACTTGGGAAAAAAAGCATAGACATGGAAAGAATTGGAATTTCAAAAACTTCGTTAGAGAACATGACAAATTTTTAAGAAAGCTGTTATCTAGAGGATTCTGTAAATTAGAGTAAATTGAAAAGTGATTTTAGATAAATTAATAAATAATCAATTTACCAAGCATGCTAAACCTGATGTCTCAATTGTATCAACATACCTTTGTAAAGTTTTTCAATTATTTTGATCACAACAGCTACCTCAACAGTATTCTTCTTGCTGTGTCCATCATCATCCCCTTCTTCTTTCCCAACAGAAACATTTATGAAAGTATACGGACCAAACATTGGACTTGAAATATAACGCTTCTTGTGTACTTTATCCTTGACAAGAGGAGCATCTAGAATTTGATTACTGTAAAATTTGGAATTTGGAAAGCAGCTTATTGATGGATGCATTCTGTATTGTGTGTTGAGCAAATGCTTTGAATGTCCTAATAAACTCAGCCGTTCAAAAAGACTTCTACCGTATCCAGCTGCATCACAAACCTAATAAAGAGAAGATTAGATATTATGTGTGATTTCAATGACAAACTATATTGGAATGTCAATATAGACGATCAATTGAGCATACCTGGCTACTAACTACTGCTGGTAATTGGCGCTCATCACCAATAAGAATAGCATGCTTTAATCCGGGAAGCTGCAATGGTACAATCGATTCACATTCCTTCAGCTGTGCAGCTTCATCAATGATTAACAAGTTAACTGGGTCCATTTTCATGGATTTCAATTGGAATGAACTGGAAGCAGTGCAAAGAATCAGAGAGGCCCTCTGGAAACAAAACTGTTTCACAGATTTTTTGTTTGCTGTACTTGGAAGTTGAAGTTGATCCAGAGAAGCCTGAAGAAATCTGAGAATTGAGAGGCACTGGCTCCTCAAGTGTAAGAAGGTTGCTTCCATTGAATGATCTGGGAAGCGCATAAATACTTCTGAACATGAAAACAGAATCTCCATTTGCTCTGATGTTACATTGTCCTGGGATAAGAGCGTCCCAAATGAATCTACCAAGTTCAGAAGGATCTCTATATTCTGAAAGTTATGCTCCAGGATGAATTGTTTGGGAATATGTGTTATCAAAGTTTGAAGACAACCACGGACTGCCAAAGCGGTAGTTTTGAATTTTTCCCTTATGAACCCAAGGAATGAAGAAACCTCAACCCCATTATCACCTTGCTTCTTGTCACTTCTGCTCGTGTTTACATTAGACTCCAAAAAGATGTGATACTCAGAATTGCTACTTTCAAGAAGTTTTATCAGAGAAGTAATATGACACTTCCAACCAGATTGTCCAAAACACTTGAGAAGCTTGCCAACACGATGATCTAAATATATTTCTTCGAGTTCAGAACTAACTTTCAGCCGATCCTTATTCCCAAATATGAGCACGTCTCCCAAAGAGCATAGCACACCATCTTCTTTGGATGATTCTCTCAACAACTTTACAACTCGAGAGGTCAACTCTGTAATAGCCACATTTGTTGGTGCACAGGCAAGAACTCTTTGTTTCATTTTCAAAATTGACCACAGCAAGAAACTGATAGTTTTAGTTTTTCCTGTACCAGGTGGACCCCATATAAGCTCCACCGAAGGTTTATGATCACAAAGTGTCTTGCAGACACAACATAGCACAGCTTCTTTTTGAGAATCATTCAACACAGAAGATAAGCTTGCCCCCAATTTTTCAGCACAGACAACATTATTAGACAAAGAGCATTTGTTACAGATTTCATCACCCTGACATCAGAAATGAACAAATTAATTGCTATTTATTGAAATAGTTTCGTTTTCCCCAAAATTGTGTTTAAAGAAAGTTAGGACATGAAAAAACCTAGTAAAAGGCACATAAATGTAAAAAGTTCCCATAACAATTGGAGATATTTCAAGAGCTTCCAATTCTTTTGTTGGTTAAAAGTATCATGCTCCGAGGGCCCAAACCAATCAGAAGCTAATGAGGTAATAGGTGAACATCTTAATTCAGGAAAAGTTCTTACCATTGAATTTTTGCCAAGTACATGCTTGATAATCTTCAAGTCTTCAGAAAAGTGTAAACAATTCCATATTCTCACGTTGGTTGTGACATTCATCAGAAAAACAATAAAGAATTCTTTTGTCATGCCCTGTTCACCACCGATATTTTTGGATACATTAAGTTTCAGATGAGTAGAGCATCCACTGTCAGTGACGTTTTGAACCCAAGCAAAAGCCCAGGTCCTTGTTGAGCATTGCAAATTCATAACATTTTCCGGCTTATCATCCAGTATGAGAAAGATATCCCCAGGCAATGTTCTATAAGGCTCCTTCTTACTATTGTTTGTTGTATTTCTCCAAGTATCAACGTCGACATTTAGTAACAATTTGCCGCTAGATTTTCGTTCCTCAACAGAGATCAGCTTAGCAAAAGGAGCTCTATGAATTGCCTTCAAACTTGAAGACAGTTCTGCTCTTGTTTCTTCTAACAAAGGAAAGAGATAAGACGCAAGATATTGATGCACTGAGTTAAACGATTCTGGAATATTTTGCACCTGCAATTTTGAACTCAAGAAAAAAATAAGCACCCATCAGCTATGGTAATTTGACTTATTTCAACAGATGAAACCAACGATTTTACAGGAATGAAAAGGCTACTTCAATTTGCAGTAACAAGTAATAGATCATGCACCATCTAACGAAGCTTACACGTTTAATGAAGTAAAGAAAATTTAGCTCTCAAGCCAGCTTGTGAATGCATGCATTGATCTCATAAAACTAGTATTTAAATATTGAAGTCGATAAACTAGTAAAGTAAAAGCCATAGAATTTAGGAACTTAATGAACATTGTACCACATCCCACAATCTCACTTTTGTCCTCCAAGTTTTAACAATGTTAGAAAGGAACTTCTACTCAATTTCATATCATATGGTTTAAACAAGCAAGTCCCTAATTTAGGGGGAAAAAACAACCATTCAAGAAAAAGTGGGAATAAGACAAGGGAAATGGATGGTGCTTCATTTGTGTATAAGAAATTTCATGGTTGATAACCATTTCAATAACTATATAAGTAAAAGAAGATGCAACATTTTATACATAATTCTTAAAGTAGTTTAGATTTTCAGTTTGTCCAGCATCCACTGTTACCATTACAAAATCATAAGAACAATATAAAGAACTGGCAAAAGAGTGGCAGCTAATGACATGAGGGAAAGAGAAGAACCCAGAAAATAAAAAATAATCAGAATTCAGAAGATGAAAAGATAAAACAAGAATAGAACCTTGTCTTTATAGAAATCATCATATGATATATCTTCCAAAGTCCAAGAAAACAACTGATCAATGAGACCATTGAAACGTATTTTCTTAGGATTGATCATCTTTGAAGAGCCAGCTGGTTCCATTTTCAGAAAAAATCTTGAGTCACAAACTCCCTCAGCATCAAATTGAGACACAAACAATGAAACTGGGAAATATGAACCTCGATCAACATTCACACCCTCTTAACGCTCACTTCGAATTCTTCTAATCGAATCAGAAACAATCGGAACAAGTGAGGACGAAATAAGAGCAAACGCATTGATGAAGAAAACAAAGTAGACTAAAAATTGACTTGGAAAAGCCATTGAAAGCTTAAAAAATGGCATCCATAGTACCATATGGGTCCACTTACGCCTTCTTTTTCCGCCTTTTCGGTACACAGAATATCATTGATGATCTTTTCCGATGCTTTAACATCTTGAAATTGAAAGAAGACGTCATTTTCCGAGGCCTCACTTTGCAGCCTCGTTAAGGAACGCAACAGAGCTCTTCTTTCACACTGTACAACAAGTTTCTTAAGAACGAAGGAGAAGTCGGCATGTACGGACTAGCCACTACCAAGTTTTTTAAAAACTACTACTTTTTTTTTTTATCCTTTTTATTTGTTTGTTATTATTTTTTTAAAAAAAATAAAGGAAATAAAACAAAAAAAAAAACTTTTAACGAAAAACTTTTGAGTTTTTCTTTGGATTGAAGAACATTTTAATTTTTTAAAAAATAATTCAAATTCTTATGCTTAGATTAGTTTTAGGACGAGAATTAACAACCTTTCACGTATCTATTACCTGTTGAAGATTGGTGGAAGAGGAGTCTCGTATTGATTGCTTAACTTAAAGATCAAGAGTTTATAAGTAAACAATATTATCTTTATTGGTATGAGGCATTTTGGGATCGAGTAAAACCATGAGAGTTCATGTGGTGAACAGTCATACACTCCATTGACACAACAAGAATAATAAATACCTACTTATACATGAAAGCAACTAAAAGAGGTTTGGAATGGGCATGCAATCATGGACAACACGTCCTGTACAAGTATAACCCAGACATCTAACACTGAGCCACAAGCAACACGCCTTGGACAAACATGACCATGACATCCTCCCCCACTCAATTGGGTGACGTTCATGTCAACCGACTTTTCACATCTTAAAGATGTAGTATCTCGACGTGCTTCCAGCTGATCTCTGACTTGATAAGTCTTTTCTAATTTGTCAAAAATTGTTAAAAACCACTTCTTGGTTTGTAACTCTTTGCATCTTCTCAATCAGAATCTCTCATACTTTCCTTGGTAGTGGAACTCTTCTTCGTGGCATGAGATCGTACCACCTCATTGTGCCTTGTGTCTTTCTGGTTGGGATAGTAACGCTTCAAATTACTAACATGGAAAATAGGGCTAGTCCACATCCATAGGAGCAATTAGATCCTATATGATGTCTTCTCGGTCTTCTGGATGATTCTGATTGGTTCATAGTATTTTGTGGATCAGTTATTGGTTATTGCTGTGTTGAAACCGGAGTTAATCTGACCTCAACTTGATCAGAACTCTTTCTCTATTTTGGAATTGTCATGGTCGACGCTTCCGATCGACCCTTCTCTTCATCTGTCTGAATGGTCTTCTTGAGTAAACATGAGTTGCTTCGGAGGTTTGTCTCTGTCTCTCCCACCAGTGTAGGTGTTGGCTTGGTGTCTCAACCTAGCATTTGGGTAACCACTAACAAGAGTCTCTGCGGGTTTAATGGACCGGACTTTCAACAAGTCACTTAGCTATTTGTGGAACTCGACTATTTTAGGTTGAGATGTATGACACACATCTATGACAAGTGATCTCACCCCTGACATAAAATCAATCTCGTGATCTATTTGCCTAGGTGGAGATAAATATTTTGTCCGACTTTCTTGTCTTGCATCACAGTGTTTCTATAGTGACCACGAGGTTTCTATTGGAGTTAGCTCACTCAAGCTCTCCTATAAACTATGACACCGACAACGAGCATAGGTTCATCATGACTAAGATCCCTTCTCCAACTATAGTGTCATCATCATTTTCAGCCCTTTTGGTTAACGGGTGTTTGTAATGATTGTTGGTTGGACCCTGTTACTAGTAAGCATTTTGCTAGGGGCTTGGAAATAACTTTATGTCCTAGCAGGAAATCCATCCCTAACACGATGTTGAAGTCATCCATCTTGACTATTACAAAGTCGGTTTGTTCATTTCAGGTTCCCATCTTAACCGGAGTTCTTTTTAGAACTTCTAAGAGGTAAAGCTGCTAAATCGACGACTTTCATCTTTCCTCTGTCTCAATACCAAAGGATGTTCAAGCGTTTTGCTTCGGTCACCGTCATGAAATTGTGGGTGGCTCCAAAGTCGACACTGGTGTTCCTGGGCACTATGTGGTTAACCCAGGTCTCGACATATATAATATAGCGTTCCACTGTCTCTTCCACTCTCTTATGGAAAGTGAACAAGTGCTTAGCTCCCCGCGGGGTGTTTAACGTTCTCAACTAGTGATATTTTTTAGATCATTCCAAATTTTACATGGAAGGCATAGTGTGTCGCTTTTTGTGGGTACTCGATTTCTTGGTGGGTTCCCTTGCGTAATGACCCAAAATATAAAAATGGATTGACGCTCCATAATGACTCTTTCTATGACTACACAACTCTCAAACACTCCTCCACCTTGACTAGCAGCCTGAAAACATCTAAAAAAAAGGGTGATTATAAAATACTTAGTATGAAACCTACTTGTAGTCTCTCATCGGATCCTTAACCTAGTAGATATCCATGAGTTTTACTCTAGGCTCTAGGAAGTTAAGATCTAGTCTCTATCGCTACCTAAACATCTAGATTGCCTTAATTCCCGAACCCACTTTAGGAATGAAGGGGGTGGTTCACCCTTTTCTAGCGTTTTCTGGGAGAAAAATCTCATATTTACGATAAACTACTTTTTTGTACTTAGACGTAGATAGCTTGCTTTACTTAAGTGGTGTAAAACCGATGTCATGGGTTTGGGTGCTACCTCTTAAAACTCTCTTGCTATTGGAGACAAAATGGTGTGTGCAACATTGCTCGTCATCCATGCGAGATTAACGGGTGAATCATTCCCACAGGACATATAGTTACCTGGATTGAAAGAGCAACCTCCTGTGCTTGCCAGCTACTGAGTTACCCCATTTGGCTCTATGTCCCCCCTCTCCAGGCAGGTTTACTACAACGACTCATCCTCAAAGTTAGGCGACTAGTTACCTTGGTGCACTACCCTAATCGCCCTAAGCCTAACCCCTCAATATTTGTGGCACCATTAAACTTATGACACTTCTCGTTGACAATAAACGAAGTCATCATTTTCTACCTAATTAAATGAGAATAGATGAGGGCTATTAATTTTTTTGGTATAATTTTATTAAAATAATTTATTTGAGAATAATTATTGATATTGACCCAAAACAAACTAAAAAAAGGTAAGATTTAATTCATGTTATTTATAATATACTTATTAATGCATAAAAATTTAATTAAGAGTTAAAGGCATATTATTGTTTTATTAATAAATTATTGCAATATACGATTCACAACTATATCTAATTAAATATAATTTATTAGAATAAGTAAAAGTTTATATAATTTTATTAAAATCAATGTGAGGATAATTATTAAGATTATTTATTTTAATTACAAAATAAACTAAAATTTACCGGAACAAAAATAAATTAAATTTTAATGGGTTAAAATTAGTTTAATAAAAATAAAATAATTAAATACTTTAGTTATTTAAAATTATATAACATAATAATAATTGAAAATAATACTATTAATTTGATTCTCAAACATTTTATTTTCAGACATCCAAAACAAACCCTCAAAATATTTTTAACGGCTTACAATTTCATAACTAAAAACTCAAATTAATTTAATTAATTAATTAATTAATTAATATTTTTATGATAATAATATTATTAGTATTTTTATGTGTCCATAAAAGTCAAAATAATAATTTCAAAATCACTTAAATGAGAGCAAGTTGAATAACAAATTCTAAATGGCTGAGTCCAATAATTTTGGTTATTATTAAATAAAGAAATATATAACATTAATTATTATATTAATTAATTTTCTTTAAAAAAAAATTATATATGCTATTCCTTTCAATATCCACCCTTCATTTCTCTTTTTAAATTTTGATTATATTTTTAATTCATATTTTTCCCATAATAACTTGTAGATCAGATTTACATTTGAACATATAAAAAGAACAAAGCCATTAAAAGAGTCGAAAATTTTTTATTTAAATTTTCAAGAGATATTTAAAGAGTAGAGTAGGTCGAATTTGACGGACACTATGAGTAGTGTCATTAGTGTTGTCCGTTATAAATAAAAATTTGTTTTCAATTTGTTGAATATTATTTATGGTTAAAGTAGTTAAAAGTCAGTACAAGATTGATGATAGTGATGTAAGACAATGATATGGAAAAAGAACGCGTTTTTAATGTTATAGTTATAAATTATTTATATCGTACTTTAAGCAAAGATAAGTTTAATAAAATATGTTTGTGTTCTTCTCCATTAAAGGGACATGGGAAGGAACTAATTTGAAAAGAAGAATTAGTATGCTAGTTAGTCATATGTAAAGGTGACGGCGATTCAAGAAGCAAAGAATCTCATCGAACTTCAGTCGGCTCTAACACATGAGATTAACCGATCTTTAACATTTTTATTTGTAGGTTTATTTGAAAGCCTTCCATACTTATATAATGGTTAATTTTTTAATGAGACTCTAATACTCGAAAGAAACTAAAGAAAAAAAAAGGGCAAAAATGCAATTTTCCATGGGTAGCCGAGTTCGTTTAGAAGGTTATTTTAACGTTTCTTGATTTTTTAGCAAAACACGTGGTTTAGATCCTTAACTCATTGTTCTTTGTTTATTTCTTTCATATTCCTTTAAATCATACTTAACTTAAGGTTAATATTGAAACCCAAGTGATTCTTACAGGTATTTCTCAGTTGAAGATGGCTACTTCAAAGTTGATGTTTGGGACCTTCCTTCTCGAGTTTTTTTGGTATCTGAAGTACTATAAATTTTTGTTGTGATCTATTTTAAGTCTAGTTTTTTGAACCATCAACAATTTCTTAAGAATCAGTTTGGATTGAGTTGAGTTTGAGAAAATCAAAGGGTGTTTAGGCCTAAATCTCGCGTCCTCTAGCTCTCTTGAGAGATCTTCTAGCCTTGTTTGTTTTATGAAACTTGAAGATGGCATTGCAAAGAAGAGTTAGGGAGTAATTTCATATCATAATGAACTATAGCTTA